AATTGTGTACCTATTTTAAACGGGGAAGAGATGAAAATATACATTATCAGATCCAGAATACAACATTTTATCATGATTTATCCACTCCCCAAGAAACCAATATATTTTCCCCTTTCAGTATTTCAGTAATAGGTTTCAGTAGTAGATTCAATATTTTAAACATATGTAGCAGGAACGGAGTTCTTTTCTTCCAGCGTACCAATACTCCACAGGTAAGTGTTCTGCGGATTCATGAACTAGCCCAAATATGCATGCAAATTGATAGGACTTTCTGAAACATAACAATATTTAGAAATTTCTGAGAAAATTCAAAATTGAAATTCATTGTATTTGTTCCACTTGCGGCAAAGATGATGCTGAGTTTGACAGTGCTCAAAGTGAAAAAAGTATCAGCTTTGGGGCTGTAGTTATAGGCGTGGTTGAAAGTGACCCCTGGACCAATCCAGAATGAATCCCCGTGAGTTCTTTCCCTGACTCCCAGGCACAGTGCCTCATTCGAAGTCATTACTGCTCTTGGCAAATGGAATCGGCCTATGACGCGACCTATTTGGAATCAAGTGCCCAGAGGACTTAGGAGAGAGGCAAGGGTGGGAAATGGAGTGACAATTTCTGATCTGGGATGAGTGTGATTATTTCTGGGAGTTAGAAAAAAAGCCACCCCAAAATTCAGTGATTCTCTTAAGACTACACTCTCGTAATTACTTGACAATGTATTAGGAAGATCAGAGAATGGGTTCCTCGGAGCAAGGATCAGCCTTGATACCGTTACCAACCCTCCTGAATCCGACACCCTCCTCTCATCACATGGCGAAACCAAGTCCCAGTGGGAAAAGCAGCTCAAACAAGGGCTACTTATTCCACTGGGCACTTGGACAATCCAGTTGCAATGCATCTGACTCTCCTCTCTCTTCTCTGCCTTATTCTGCTTTCCTTGAAATTTGCAAATGTACCATCAAGTACCAGAGCATTGACCATGCTGAGGGCACACCTTGTTCTGCTCTGGCCCAGCTCCTGGCACAGTAGAGGTCACTCCGTAATTAGCTTGAATCAGTGAGTGGGAAATAATCGGCCAGCACATCACACCCCTCACTGATCGCTGCTTATGAGACCCTCTTGGAATAAGAACAGCAGGATTAGGAGGTTGTTTTCCCTCGAGTTGCTGCAACTCTAAGGATGTCTGAGAGGCTTAGCAGATCTTAAAGACACCGTTTGCAAGGATCAGTTGTCAATGGGGCCATTTTCTCGCCGGCTTCCTGGTGCCTCCTTTATCTTTGCCACACTCCCGGCCCTTGTGTCCATGCCCACGCTGTCTTCACATGTGTCCCCCAGGATGTGTACGTCACCCTACAGTCTATGGGGGTGCTCTTGAGCTTCCAGGAGTACATGGATTAGTGATATGATATGGCCAGGAGGCTTTTCTGGGCTCCGCATGCTGACCGCACAAGAGGCTTACACACAATGGGGCCAGTGAGACTGTCTGTGCAGCCCGTGCAGGTCACTTTGGTACTAGAAGAGATTTAGGAAATTTGTAGAGACTATTTTAGCGATTTAACTTGGATTGTGTTGATCAGATAAATTCTGCACCAGGAAACAATTGCATTCTCTGAACTAGCCCTACCTTTTCCTCATCAGAGTGCTCGAGGTAGTCGGGTGGGCAGAAAGAGGACTCTGCCCCTCTGCATGGTGCATTGGGAGTGAGGGAGGGGCTGAGAACAGTCCGGTTGGCAAATTATAGTAAGTGTAAGTCTTACTTTAGGGAAGTCTAAAAACACTTTTCAAGAATATTTTTGAATGGTTGTTCTCAACCAGAGGTGACTTTGCCCTCCAGGGGACATTTGGCAATGTCTGGAGACATTTTTGATTGTCACGAGCGGGGGAGTGCTGCTAGCCTCTATGGGTAAAGGCCAGGGGTGCCACTGAACATCCTGCAGTGCGCAGGATGGCTCCCATCACGGAGAATTCTCCAGCTCAGAATGTCAGTGTGCTGAGGTTAAGAAACCCTGCTTAGAATCAAGCATGTGCATTTGAATTGATTCATTTTAATAACTACTTAGGAATTGTCAATTAACTGATAATTGATTAATTAATAATTGCTTTAATAATGAAAGCAAGGTTGTCTTTAGTGCCTCTCCCAGTTTTTGGCTTTGTTTTGGTTTTTTTTTTTTTATTTCCCCTGTTCTTCCCTTTTCTTGTTTAAGTTTGTTTAATTTTGCCTTGGGGGGGATAATCTAATTTCTTTCAAATAAGACATTTTGAGAGATTGACTGCATCATTATTGGGGTCATAGCATGTCATGTGTTCCAAGTCCAGGCATATCTGTGCTCTGAGCAGTCTCGCCTAAGAAATGGTCTCAAAGCGTAAACAACCCCCTGGTCACGGAGCGCTCTCCAGTTTTCTAAGCACCTCCTATCCATTATCCCATTACATCTCACAGCCACTCAGATGGGCTTGTTTTATGATCCCTGCTTTGCAAATAAGGGAACTGAGGTCCAGAGACAAGGTTAAGTCAAGGTCAGGGTTAGAGGCCTTGACCAGCGTCACACAATATATATTAAGGTCTCTGTACTCCACAGCCAGGGATCTGTTCCCACCACCAAAAGTCTACACTCTGAAAAAACTGCCCTGTGCCTAGGCAAAATCTGTAAATGTTCAGACTTATCTTTGATGCTCTGCTAGTAGGCACACACTTCTCACCTACTTCACGCCCCCCAACACACTGGCCCCAAGTCCTGGCAAGCTCCCCAGATGCAGAAGACCCCTGCGCTGACCTGCCCTAAGACCCACCTTCCCACATCATCAAAGCTCAGAACTCCCCCAGTTCTGTTTTAAGTGCTGTTCCCCTGGTGATGTTGAAAGAAAGTCAATGAATGTTAATTGGCGAAACGAGTAATTGATTACCTGAATGAGAGAACAAATGGGAATGGATTAATCCGTTCCAGTGTTTCTCAAACAGATACCCCAACAGCACACCCCAGGGTTGCCTGCAGCAAGCAGAGACTCTCTTTGAAATCCTTTTATCTTAAAAAGTCACTTAGTGCTTTGCTTCCAAGTTATAATAAAATCATATTTATTTTAATACAAAAACAAGGTGTTAAATACTCAACAGCATCAGGTACTGTCAGTCCCTTAGGAAGATACACCTGTTTAGCCTGCAGGACCCTTCTACCCCAATCTCAGGCTGAGAGACGTAGAAAATCAACTCTAGTCCCAGGTACTGGGCTATTGCTCAGCATGGAGTTTAGAATAAAATGTTTGCATTTCAATAAACATTGAAGAATAGTCAAAAGGTCTTTCCTTCCAAGATAGCAATGCCCTAAGCCTTTCTGGATTAACCATATATGACTAATTCCACACCGAAGTGGGGCAACACAGGACCCTTCCAGTAAGTGCAGGGCATTCCAGAATTTTTATCGTTTCTAAGAGACTCAAGTTATATTCAACTTTCTTTTCTTCTCATAGAATATGAATATGAAACTCCAGGAGCTTTTCGTAAGAATCACCATTTATGTCTTTAACATCCACAAATGCCCCCAATCCTCTGATTGTACTCACCAACACATAGCTCACTGCAGGAGGTGGGGGAGGGGCAGAAGACAAACTGAATTTAATCAAAGGGACTCAAAAGGGGAAGAAAAAACAAACAAACAAACAAAAAAACAAAACCAAAAAACAGGTGGCTTCCTTGTCTTTAACCATGCAGAAAATATTTTCTCCCCAACTGTTGCCCAAATGTATTTTAGAAAATTATGGAGTTAGGATATCAATGTGGTTTAGTAAATTACCATTCAGTGACATAGTTAGACTCAGACTGAACTGAAGAGAATCCTAACTTTGCACACCCGAATAAGGCATCCGAGGCTGGAAAGGCAGTGAATGTAGCCTTGGGACACTGTCCCTCTCATCCCCATTTAGCAAATCCAGAGATTAATGGAGAAAAGCACACCCCATTTTTTATCTGAGTCTTCCAGCGTTTCCCTTCCTTAGAAGTACATTTATGAACGCCATAGGAATACACTCCTATAAACACTTGACCCTGTTGCCTTTCTGGCAGAGGTGAATGTGCACAGATAATCCAGTTTAAAAGAGCAATCTGTAAATGATTCTGAGCTGCCCGAATGCACGATCCACTTCTCCCTTGCCAAGTATCAGAACCTACTGAATATATAGCCCAAAGGATGTCATTAGTTCATCATCTACTCCATGAGGCCATCACATACCTGCTGGTGCTTGCTCAGTAAACCTGGGCAGACTATTTTGCACGGCAATGGCAATGACACCCTGTTTATTTCTCTCCGCACTCAGATGCTGAGATCCTAACACCATTTCCTGGTGGTAGGTCAAGGTTTCCTAACTGCTCAGCTGATACAGCTTGGTGGGTCATCGCTTCTCAGTGATGGGTAGATTTTCAACCACGAAAATGCTTCCAAATGAAATGATTTCATCTATCATGCACAATCTCTATGCATTATGCATTCACCTCACTCATAAGCCTTGTGTTTTATTTAAATGCACAGAGGAAGGCTATGTCCTCCTCGCCATCCTTCTTTATCTACTTAGCCTCTTCCCACTCCTCTTCCAAGCCTTAGGTCCATTGTCATCCCTTAGGAAAGACACCTCCAACCTCCCCACCCCATTATGCGCTCTCAAAACTGCTTGTTAGCACTTAGCACAGTTGCGAATCTCCATTTAATTTTAGATGAATGTGACTGCCTCCCCTAGACTTGCAAACCAGACTCCACAGTCTACGGCAGCAGGAGCCAGGTCTGTGAACCACAGTGTCCACAGTGCTATCTACTGTGACCCAGTGTGTGCTCAATAAATACTCGTTGCAAAGTTAGACAAATGGGTTGAGGCAGAATATGCCTGTTCTCCTAACATGCTATATTTCTGTATTTCACTGGCCACAATTGCAACTAGTGAATGGGTCAGGCAGATGTTCTGGGCGCTTGGAAGTTTTCTACCATGGCCAGTGGGGCAGGGTTTGCAATGACCAGTGGGACATGAACGAAGCCAGCGTGGTGTGCCGGCAGCTGAGCTGTGGGCGTGCCCTCACTGCCCCAGCCGAGGCCCGATTTGGTGAAGGCAAAGGCAAGTTTCTGCTGGATGACGTGGACTGCACGGGAAGAGAGAGTTTTCTGGGACAGTGTCCCCATGCCGGCTGGGGCCTGCATAACTGCGGTCCTGGAGAAGATGCCAGTGTCGTCTGCGCAAGTAATGACCACTCTCCATCGAGAGGTGCACAGCGCATTACCCGGATTGCATCTCCGCGGATCCCATTGGCAGTGCTTGCATCTGTGTAATCGTAGCCCGTCTCTACCACTCGTGGGAGCAAACAGTAAGGAGACGTTGTAATATGAGAGCTTCCACTTGAGCTCAGGAATTTGTTAGCCACAAGATGTTGGAATGGATTTTATACAGAGAAAAACAGTGGGAGATATTGGTGGTTCCATAACAAAGACTAGATTGCAAAATGGTGGGTGAAAAGACAGCATGAGTCAGCTCTGGCATGAGTCACTCACGGGGTGTGTTCCACCTTTCTTTGGGACACTTTGGTGAACTAAAGAAAAGTTTTTTCTTACCAGAAGTTTGCAGTCTATTGAAGGTGACAAAGCAAGGAGTTTATAAATTAGAATAGCATCGGTTTGTCCTGTTGATTGTGAGTTCAGGCCATGTATTGCTAATCACAAGTCTTTGACCAAATAGTAATTATCCTGACCAGTCTAGAGGAGGGTTTCTCAATCTTGGCACTCAACATTTCGGGCTAGATCATTTGTTGTGGGTGCGCATTGTAGGCTGTTTTGCAGCATCCTTGACTCTACCCACTAAATGACAGTAGCACCCCCAGTCCCCAAGTTGTGACAACCAGAAACGTCTTCCAACATTGCCAAATATCCTTTGGGGGAGCAAACTTCCCCCAGTTGAGAACCACTGTCTAGAGAATACAAACAAATTTCCCCCAGGTGTGTGACTAATACGGGTGCACTACTGATGCTAAAGACATACATTTGTGTGCCCCTCGGGAAGAAAGGAAACAATTTAGCTGGCCTAGAGAGAAAATTGGCTGCTTGCCTACATTTCCAATTGTATTCAACCGGGAATACTATATCCAGAAGATACTAATGCAATTAATTAGCTTTTTAAGTCCATTCAAACAGCTAAATCGTGTGTGTGTGCGTGTGTGTGTGCACGCACACGCCCGATAGTTGTCTTTCATTTAGTTTTTGAGTTTTCTTTCCCATTTGATTTTTTTAGATTTAGTTGGGGTTTTGGTTTAGAATTCCATCAAAACAGGGTCCCACCTGTTTTTTATGTGTGTGATGAGTTGCCTCCTATTTGGAAGAGTTATGCACAATGGCCAAGCACAGCCACAATTGGATGGAATGTGTGTTATTAGACACATTATGCTAATAAACATTTATGCATCTGATAGTTAGTTAAAGCCACTTGAACTAAGGCAGGGAGAGTCAAAATTTTTATTTTATTTTTTCATTTTAAAATTCATTTCTTATTTTAAGCATCTCCAGAAACAGCTACCCTTTTCTAAAGCAGATCTTTTCTTTTCCTGCTTGTTAACAGAGACTGAGTCCGTAACGCCTACATTAGGTAAGCTCATACTTTTGTTTTGTTGACCTGACGTTTTTCATTCTAGAAGCTACCTGGACAGGTAAATAGGTAGATAATGAAAGAATCAATGGTGTAAGTGATGGGAGGGATCAGATTGCCACATTTCAACAGTCATTATTGGCCTTTTCTGCGTTCCTGGGCCATTAAGATAATCCTACCATTAAGTTGAAAATGCTGCTGGACTGCTTTCCCCTCCTTCCGCAAGAACTAGCTTTATTTCCATTTCAATCAGTAGGGTTTTAGTTATTCTCCAATATTGCTATTTTCATTATTCCAATGGAACTGCTGTTAAAAGCATTATTCCTATCACCGTGTTAAGGAAAAGTCTTGCTAAATTGTTTGCATCACTTACATGACTGTTTAGTGCACATTCTTTCTCGCTATGTGGGACTCGATGTGGCTGGGGAAGGGATGTGACCTGCATGGCTAGGCAAGGGAAGTGACCTGCCTACCATTCGCTCTCATGTTCTAACTACCACTGAACTCCCAACCTGTCTCCCTGCAGAGAACGCTGAAGAATCACTGCAGATGCCCCAAGGTAGGAGGTATTTCCTTGTTGAATTTGCAGTTAGTTACCACAACTTTTTTTTTTTACCACAACTGCTGAGCCACATTTGGAGGGGAGAATGTCGTACATATCCTGCGCATAGAACAGTTGTATCAATTTTCTGGTGTATTAGGAGACTGGTTAAGTCCTGCAACTAGTCAATGCAATGGGAACGTGTTCAAGACAGGCCAGTGCACCAGCAAAGGCCAAGTTTCGGAATGAGGGAAAGGCAATGAGCCTGGCAGCAGAAGTTCCATCTCTGCCATGTATTTAGTGTGATCTTGGGCAAGTCATTACACTCTTTTTTAAAAGGGGGATAAAAACACCTACTTCACAGTGCTTCGTTTAAGTTAAATGAGATCATATGCATGGGATGGTAACAAGAGCCAATGTATATTGAGTGTTTATGATGTTCCAGGAACTGTTCTAAGAACTTTACCTGCATGATTATTAGTTTTTTAATTATCTAACTCAGGGGTCCAAAAACTTTTTTGTAAGGAGCGATACAGTAAATATTTTAGGCTTCTCAGGCCAGATGGTCTCTGTTGCATTTATGAAACTCTGCTGTTGTAGCATTAAAGTAGCCACAGACAGTTCATAAACTAATTGGTGTGCCTGTGTTCCAATAAAATTTCATTTGCAAACACAGGCACTGGGCTAGAATTGAACCACCAACTTTAGCTTCCTGACCCCTGCTCTAAAGAATTAATTAATTCTAAGCACTTTGCATGCATGACATTTAATTTTCACAACAACCTTATAAAACAGGTGCTTTCGTAATCCCCAATTTACTGATGGTGAAACTGAGGCATAGAAAAGTTAATCAACTTCCCCAAGGCCATGCAGCTAGCAAGAGGCACAGCTGTTAGTCTGTTCGATATTATAATACTTTGCTTGGCTTTTATGGACAGCTGATGTTCAAAATATACATATTCCTTCGTCCAACTAGTTTCTCAAGCCAGGAGAAATTGGAGCCATCCCTCATTCTTCCCTCTCCCTCACTTCACATGACTAATGTGTCAGAAAATTCGGTCTCTACTTCCAAAACATATGCTAACCCCATCAGCACCTCCGACTCCACCGTTCCTGCTGTCATCCAAAGCCCCATCATCTTTCATCGTAATCTGGCAACAATTTTCTAAATAGCCCTCTACCTCCCTTCTTGCCTCCTCCAACATCCACATGCACTGTTCTTGTCGCAGAAACCAGAGCAGGCTGGAAAATTGTAAATTGGATCATTCACCTTCACTCAGACCCCTCCAAAGGCTTTCCGCTGTATTTGAATAATGTCCAAATTGGTGACCATGGCCTTTCAGACCCTGTGTGACCTGATGCTTGTTCATGTCTCCGACCACTGAGAAAATACCTCATCTGGACTGTGCTCCCTGGGTCTTTTTCCCATCCCTTGAGACTGTCAAGGTATCTCCCGCCTGGGGCCTTAGTAGGCGGCTCTTCCCTCTGCCTGGAAGGCTCTTTCCAAGATGTTTCTCAGCTCACTCCTTGTAATCAGGTCTCAGCTAAAATGTCACTCCCTGAGTATATGATCCAGAAAGACTCCCTCACGGTTGAGTCCTATTTGATCAACCTGTTTTTCTCTTCCTGGTACTTGCCTCTGAGATGGGCTTTGCATTTTCCTTTTGCTGCCCTGTCTGTTACGTGTCCTCTGCCCCCCTCCCCGGCGTATGGTTACTGTGGGAGCAGGAACTTGTGATGTTTTATCTCAGAGCCAAGGATAGTTCCTGGTACATAGTGGGTTCTAGATAAATACTTATTGGATGAAAAAAATACACATATGCGTAGCATTCTGCCTCTTCTGTAAATTGTTATTGAAAGTGATGTGTTAGGTATTAAAATAGTCAATGATCCTTGAACAAAGGCGACGACTTCCTTTAGGAGAATACTCTTATCAGGCAGTGAGAATTCCATTGTGCAAGGTGATGTTAATTGAATGATCAGTTCTAATAATTAGCTAAGGGTTTTGTGGGTTTATTGGTACTTTTTCTTTCCCTTTCATCCATATGTTTATTAATCTTATATTTCTATTTTTCTGATCCTGCTATGCAGATAAATATATTTTACTGTCAGTCATTTGAAATTTGTAGCAGGATATATATATAAATAATATAATATCTTATAGTTATTATATATTACATTATATATAACATATACTTATAATAATACATACAGTATAATTAATCCAATAATAATTGTGATATATATTATAGTATATAATTATATAATTGTAACTTTTTTATACCTGTGCAATAAGATAACATATATTATGAGTGATATGTAATATACAATATAATAATTAACCAGATATACAAGATTAATAGACATGTCTGCTACGGGTCCAGGAGGAAATGTATTATGGCCACTGGGCTCTGAGGGAAGCTTGAACAGAGAAGACAGCTCAGACGTGGGCAGATGTGGACATGCCATGGTTTTCCTTCTTTGACCCAGTGGGAAACCACTGCCCAGGGCAGGCAGGTGGCCCTGAGTAGCAGTAGTGGCTGGCTTGCTGTTAGCGTATGGGCATTCCAGAGAGTCAGAAGGCCAGGGTGTCTTCCAAACAATTGGATCAGCAAATACAGTACTTCTCAGAGCCTGTGAAGTCCAATGGGTTGTATTTCACCAGGAGTTCACTATATTTTACATTTTGCATTTTAGACCTGTCACTTTGAAGATTTGTTGAAAGCCAATAAGTAGGTCAAGTAAAAGTTATTCAATCTAATTGAGTAAGGAATATTTCAATTTATTTGTACCAATAGGTGATGGAAATTCAGCAACCATATTATCAGGTAAGAGAACTTTTCTGTGCTGTTTTCCCCTGGGACCTTTCTATTTACCCATTTAAATGTAGGAGAGAAGTAAATGAAAGAGGGGCTGTGGAGTTATTTTGCTAACCCATGAAGTAGTAATTCCCAAGACCAGATATGGCCTGGCTGTGGAGCCATCGAGAGGTTTCGTGCTAGTGCAACACCAACAAACAGAAAAGTCAGTAACAAAACAGGCTTAGGAAGAAAATAGGCAGAACAAGAGAATAAAAGTGCCAAGGGTCCCAATGGCCCAGACCACCAGGTCAACTCTCGGGGAGAATAATAAGACCAAAAACATAATTCTCATCTCAAAATACTAAATACCTGCGCTGGGATATTAAATCTGGGAGAGAGACAGGATGGGGATGATTGAGTCCAACAGGACTGAGGATCAGTGGCTAAGAGGTGACATAGCATTTCTATCACTATGCAGTGGTCCCTTCGGAATTGAGACAAAACTGTATTTTGTGAAGTCACAGGTAGCTCCCGACTGAGCTCCCCCAAGTCACTGTGAGCACCCGCTTATGTTAATAGGTGTTTCTTTATTGCAGTTCTACCTGCTGCCGTCTCAACTCAGTTCTCTCCTACAATTGCTGCACGCTCAGCATCACCAGGTAGGACACTACCACCTCTGGCACCATGACCGGATTTAGTGTGGTTTCTAAGTTGCACTGTAATGACAGTCAGTGGTTCTGCCACCATCGCTGGGTACCACACTGCGGTCCATTTGCGATCAAATGACTTGAGAAGAGAGGGACTAGGGGACACTGTGAAATGGTCTGGATTTCACGCTGTCCAGCTTCACTTTATGCTTATCTGTAGTTTTACTGTCAAAGAACATGATCACGCAAGCCTTCCCATTCCACGTGCTTTCACAAATGCTAAGAGGAAGAGGAAAAGAGGTGGGGTGTGTGTGCCTTTGTGTGTGTGTTAGAGAGAGAGATTGTTAAAGGGTCTCTTCATATCTTTTGAATTTAAGAAGGAAACCAGAGTGCCTGATCTAATGTCTGGGAAGTGTCCCACTTGGACACTTCTAAGTTATGCCCCTTTCTAGTTGTGGTAGCAGTGGTCACCACTGCAGGCCATGTTACTTGCTACTTGATCCTGTCTCCACTCTCTATCATCTGCAACTGCTGACGTTTCAATTATACCGTCATACAATGCTTATCCTGACAATGCCGATGATGATCCTTAGAAAACCCTTAACCTGCACTATCCACGTGGCTACTGAGATGTACTGTGTGTGTCACATACGCACTGGATCTTAAAGACTTAGGGACACGGGGAGTTGATATTCAATGAGTGTAAAGTTTCAGTTACGCAGCAAGAATAAGTTCTGGTGGTCCGCTGTACAGTGTAGTGCCTGTGGTTAACAGCGTGGTATTGCGCACTTAGAAGTTTGTTAAGCGGTAGATCTCATGTTAAGCATTCTTATCACACACACAAAAGGAACGCAAGGAGACTTTTGGAGGTGATGGATGTTTATTACCGTGATTGTGGTGATAGTATCACAGGTGTATGCGTACGTCTGAATTCATCAAATTGTATACATTAAACGTGCAGTTTTTTGGTATATCAGTTATACCTCAATAAAGTTTTTTTTTTAGGGAAAAAAAAGACAGTGCTATGAAAAGAATGTAAAATTGCTCATTGACATTTTTATATTGATTACATTTTATATTTGTACTTTATATTATTATATTGAAATGATAATATTTTGTGTATATTGGATTCAATAAGACATATTCTTAAACTTAATTTCACCCATTTGTTTGTACTTTTTAAAACGTGGATACCAGAAAATTTAAAATTACCTATGTGGCTTGCACTTAATTTATAATAAACAGCATTGCCCTGTGCTGCGACAATCCCATGTGTTGAATGCCTTACATGGATTTTCTTATCTGACTCTCCCAATGGCCAGACCACCTAGGTGGCATATTCCATTTACTTGGCAGCACGGTGCCCAGAGCTGACTATGGGGTTTGGATCCTCTCTCTTCTACCTCTCACCTGTGAGACCCTCATGATGTTTCTTTACGTCTTTGTGCCTCTGTTACCCTGTCTGAAAAATGGGAAAAATAACCATTTATTTTAGGGAGTTGTTGTAAGGATTAAGGCAGTGAATCCATGTAAAGGGGTTTAGCAGAAAGCCTGGCGCATGGTCAGTGCACGGCGAGTGTGACCCTGAGGGCCTCAGGGAGTGTCCTATGGGATGCCACCATCCAAGGACGAGGGGCTTCGCCCCGTGGAAGCCAAGCCAGGTGGAGAGGGTGTGGCATTTCTGCTCCTGTCTAAAGCCACAGCCATTTTGCCAGAATTCCTCCCCCAGCCCAGGTAGTCACCACTTTGCTTTCTGCCTCTATGGATTTGCCTATTCCAGATATTTCACATAAATGGCATCACACAATAGGTGGCCTTATGTGCCTGGCATGTTCTCAAGGTTGCTAGTTCCTTTTAAAATTCTCCATTTTGAACGAGCTTGTACAAAGATTATTGAATTTTTTTCCTGGAAACATGAAGCAGACGAAAGTGGTCCTTCCCTTTCTATTCAATATCACATATTAGGAGTCGTTTTCCTTGTATCGTCTTTCCAACAGCTCTCTCAGCTTCCACCGTCTCAGAAGATGTTGACCACCCAACCACATCATCAGGTCGGTGGCTGAGCTGTGAGTTAGAACAACATAAAGTGGGTGTGACACATTCCAGGATTTTTAAGCTCCCAGAAATGATAAGTTGTTGTTTGGGGGCAGGGAGAATTTACTAACAAAGGATTTAGGGACAAAGTGTAATGTCCGCTGCCACCTGCAGTGCCAGCTGTTAAGCTCCATGAGACAAGGGGTTTGTCTGTCTTGTTCTGCGCTGTATCGCTCACACCTACCACAGTGCTTGGCACATTATACACACCCGATAAATGTTCATTGAGTGAATAAACGATTGTGCACGTGGTGCATGTGTGGGCAGGCCATTTGACCCCTCTTGGGGCAGCTTTGGTCTTGGCCGAGAACAATCCTGCCAGACAGTGCTTGGTGGAGGCAAATCTCGACACTCAAGAGACACAGGCATCCCTCTGAAAAACACCAGTAGCCACTATCTGTACAAATATCCCTCCTCAGAGGGAAGGTCCAGTATTTCTCACATGAGCAAACGAATAAAAAATATTCTAACAAATATTTTTATTTTTCAGTCTCAGCAGACAATGAAAAGTCACCAACTGTCTTAGTGGGTAAGAGCCATGGTGCCATCACTAGTCCCATAGATATGCAGCCTCACCATCCAGAGGGGACACGTAGGCAGATGGGCAGACGGGCCACTAGGTTGTATAATGGCCTCGGGGGAGTTGTCTAAGATCATCAGCGTCCTTATGAACACAATGATTTTTACAACTTTTGCCCAATTTGTCAATGGCTTATTTTATTAATACAACTGCTGAGCACCCTCACGCAGAACCTGGTTCTGATACCGGGCTAAAATGGGGAAAAGCACTTGGGGGCAGAAGGATCACATTTAGGGGCTTTCTTTCACCAGCCTCGTCAGAAATCTGCTGGTTCATTAGGAGCCTGTGGCCCATCCAGATGTTTTGGTTAAGGTGTGACACAGCTGGTGGTTCTTTGCCGGCTGCTAGCTGGGCCCTTTTCTCATGTGTACTGTGTCTGTCCCAGGAAGGGAAGCGTCAGTCCTAATCACCGTTTCCGTGTTGTTCCAGTTCTACCTGTGGCCGACTCAGCATCTGCCGGTCGCAGAGCCAACGTGCCTGGGTCCTGCCTCTCAGGTAAGCAGCTTCCTGCAGGACGCGCCACTGCTCTCGTGAGCCACGGGATTCCTTACAGCAGGGAAGTTGGGGGCCCTGCACAGGTGGAGGCGGCTGAGGTGCGTGGGGAAGTCACACACCAGTCACCAGGACAGGGGCGATCGGCTGGGCCTCCCAGACAGCTTGGCAGCTGGTCATCCTCCCTTCCCTGCTACTCCAGGGAAACATTTTAAAGTTCAGAAAATCCAGAGAATAAGAAAGCAAATAACCACGTCTTCCCTACCTAGACATGACTGATGCTTACGTTCTGTCGTGTTGGTTTTCCAGTCCTACCAGGAAATAAAACAGTTACATGTGAAGCGGCCAATATTCCTCAGTCTAAGTCTCCCATTTCTCCTTCCTAATAAAAGGAAGGAGAAATTCTTTTGAATTTTGTAAATACCCTTATAGTTCATTTTCAAATATTTTTACATGTATGAATTATGTGATTTCTATGTTATTTTGTGGGTTTTTTCTTTCACAAATTGTATCAGTCTCTGCATATTATTTGATACACTTTCTTTCTTTACTCAGTGTTGTGTTTTTGAGGCCAATCTACTTTACATACGTGTGTATATATGTGTGTATCTCACTGCTATAGAGCGTTCCATTTGGGGACTATACCAATTTAACTTGATCCATTTCCCCACGGATGGAAAAATATTTTCCTAAATTCTTACGGCTACCCTGCTGATGTTGAGCCCCATAGCACCGAGGCACGAGAAATACCTGTCCCCCAATCTAATCTGCTCCGCTTTGTGACTAACAAAGAATGCATCACGTTGTGGTGTCATTGTTAAGTGATTTTTTCCTAGAATGTTCTTACATCTTACATATTTGGGGTAATCAAAAACTCACCTTAATTTGTAAGCCAGCCACACAGGGTGACTTCGAGAAGTACGATCCGAAAGCCTCCTCGATTTCCGTTTGCACAGGAGACTGGCCGGCGCTGAGGCTGGTGAACGGCCCGGGGAGATGCGCTGGACGGGTGGAGGTCTCCTACCAGGGCACCTGGGGGTCAGTGTGTGGCGACGGCTGGGGCCTGAGCGAGGCGCACGTCGTGTGCAGGCAGCTCGGGTGCGGTGCGGCGGTGTCTGCCCCGCTCGGCGCCCACTTTGGCCCAGGCTTCGGGAGGATCGTCCTGGACAACGTGCGCTGCAGCGGCGGCGAGGGCTGCCTGGCCCAGTGCGCCCACAACAGCTGGTTCATTCACAACTGTGGTCACGAGGAGGACGCCGGAGCCATCTGCTCGGGTGAGGGGTCTCCCTGCATTCCCCCGGCTCCTGGGCAGAATGGGCTATTGTCCCCCTCCGAGAGGGCTGATGTGTGTCTCTCTGCACTAACAGGTTCTCTCACGGCCAGCCCCGCCCCTGCAGGTAAGACGGACTGGGACTATTTCTATGTCCCATTCTTCCTACTCGGGTTCTGTCCAGCAGTCTAGCTAACATCTGCTCTGTGGGATGGAAATGGGATGGGGTGAAGCTGCAAAATGAAGCTTTAAGCGGTTTGCAGAGGCCGGTTGGCATAGTCCTTACTCACTTGAAGCCCAGGAGGTCTTCCCGGTTGAGCTCTCAACCCACCGTGAGACTCAGGACACAGGCAGCCGTGCTGAGTTCGCTCTCAGGCTCTCCTTCCCTGGGAAACCTGCCAGTCCTGGCTACGACAGCCCTTCTGCTACACAGCTGCTCGAGGGTTGATCCCAGGCACCATTTGGAGTGAGGCTTGGCGGGGAGCTCAACATTAGCAAGATCAGCAAAGAGGAAGTTAGGAATTAGCTGGCAGTACCCAGTCATCCGGGTGCAGGGACCTTCCCAAGTCAGAACTAACTTATGAGACAGCTGCAGGCGAGATAAGACTCTTCTGTGGCCACTGAAGGATTGCAATTAACAATCCTTGACTTCAGGGTATAATCTACTATGCCTATGCCCATCAGTCTTCACAAACCACTTATTTAACAGTAAATTGCCATTCACTTTCCAGAGTGATTAGATCAGAAATTTATCCCTCTGGCGTCTGTGAAGCCTGATTTTTCCTAACAGGCAAAGAAATGACATTAATTGAAAATTTTATATTTATGTGATTTCAGAGTACCTCTGCCACTAGGTAATGCCAGGGGGCCATTTCAATTACTTTTTTATCCTAAAGCAGTGGTTTTCAAGTTTTGTGCATCAGACTCATCGGGAGGCCTTATTCAAACACTGATTGTGGGCCCTACCCTGAGCTTCTGACTCTGTAGGTCTAGGGAGGGGAGCGATCATTTGCATTTCTAACAACTCTGGGATGCTATGCTGCTAGTCTGGGGGCCACGATTTGAGAACTGCTGAATTAAAACATAACCAACAAGGAATATTTCTTATCCTAATAAACAGAAGCAGAATTGTCATTATCTTCATCATTATCTTCATCCTCCTCATCCTTGTCATCTTCACCATTATCACCATCATTGCCACCCTCATCACTACCATCGTCATCATCAATACCATCATTACCACCACCACCATCACCATTATCAAAAACTAGTCTATCTGGTAAGTGAAACTTTGCATTTGTGAGCCACTTCCCTGGTTGTTTTCAGTTTATGTGTTTCAGTTATGTGTTTTTATGGTTTTATACGCACACGCGTGTGCGCACACACACATACAGAACTTAACATCCAAACAGAAATATTTAAGTTATTAAGATATCTGCAAACGTCTGGATATCTAGTATTCTGCAAAGAGACAGGTCTCTGTGGGTGAATTAATTTTCCATTTATAGTTAGGAACCTGGGGTTGCATTCATGATCCTCTTCATCTGACAGCCACTGTCCTGACCCAAGCCTTTACTGCCTCTGCCTGTCTAGATGACCCCACTCTCCTACCTGGCTTCCCTGCCTACCGGCTCCCAACATTCTAGTCTGTTATTTACATACAGTCAGAGTTATGTTTTTTTAAAAGTCAGGCTTATTGAAGCATAATTTACCTACAGTAAAAACTACCTTGTAGTTCAAAGAATTTTAATGAATGGCTGCAGTTGTGTAACCATCACCACCATCAAGATACAGAACATTTCCATTACCTTGTAAAGTTCTTATGCCCCTTCGTAGTTAAATCCTTCTCCTGACCCCCAGATCCTGCAAACACTGATATGATTTCTGTCTCCATAGGTTTGCCTTTTCCAGAGCATTATGTACTGTAATCAGACAATATGTAGCATTTTGTGTTGGGATTCATTGCTGAACATAAGGCTTTTCAGATTCACCCATGTAGTTCCCTGTATCAGACATTCATTCTTTCTTATTTCTGAGTATTCCACTGCAAGAATGTACTAAAATTTGTTTATCCTTTTACCATTTAGTGGACATTTTGTTTCCAATTTTTACCATCATGAATAAAGCTACTACAAACATTCATGTACAAGTTGCACACTATTTTCCAAAGTGACTGTACCATTTTGCATTCCCACCAGCAATTTAGGAGAGTTACAGTTGCTCTCCATCCTTGCCAACACTTCGGGTGGTCTATTTTTTAAATTGGGCCAGTATAGTATCTCTACTATAATGAGACAGTACTGTCTTTTTGTGGTTTTAATTTGCATTTCTCTAATGATGCTGCACATTTTTTCATGTGCTTATTTGCATTACTTTCATGAAGTGTCAGTTCACATCTTTTATCCTTTTTTTTAAAAAAACTGAGTTGTTTGTCTTATTACTGTGTTGTAAGACAGTTATTTGTTCATTACAGATACAAGTACTTTATCAGATATGAATTTTGCAAATATTTTCTCCCAGCCTGTGACTTGTCTTTTCATGTTCTTAACAGTGCTTTTGAAGAGCAGAATTTTTTAATTTTAATGAAGTCAAATTCACCGGGATTTTTTCTTTACTAGATTGTGCATTTATGTTTCATCTAAGAAATCTTTGCTTAACCAAAGGTCTTCCAGATTTTCTCTTGCTTTCTTCCAGAAGTTTTGCAGTTTTAGGGCTTTCATTCAGCTCTACGGTCCATCTTAGTTGATCTTTGCAAATGGTTTAAGGTATGGGTCAAAGGCCTTTTTTTTT